GGCCTGTTGTGAGCGGTGAGCGTGAGGGCCTGCGAGGCACAGCGTACAGCCATTATTGTCAGAGAAGAGACACTTTGGGCACCAGCCAAGGGTCACCTTCCACCCGGGGCCCCTCCCGTCTCCTCCCTCCAGAGCGTATGAAGGGGACCCCTTCCTTGCCTCTCCTTTCAGAAATGGATGGGAAGGCAAATCCACGGAGCGTAGCAGTGGTTAAATCCACGCATTTTGATAGCCACCACAATGGCCGTAGGCTGCCCAATCAATTTAATGACTAGACACTGCAAGTGTTCGCTAGAGAGAGAGGTGGGCATTGCGTGACCACCTGTTTATTTGATTGCGAATAAACTTTCTTTCCTGCCTGGGCTAATCTAATGGCGATAATGATTGTATCTACTGTGCAGAGTTTTGTGAGGGTTTCTCTCGGACGTCTGTGTGTTGAAGCTCGTGTGGCACGTGGTAAACACTCAGTAAATGTTTTTACTTTTTAGTAGTGTAATTACTATATGTAAAAATGGACCTTTCTACATAGAATATTGTAAGCACCAACATTTTTGTAAATAATATATCTGGGTGAGTCACCCACGGACACTCCTCTCCGAAGCCTGGCCAGGGAGGAGCCAAAGAATTAGGTTGGTGGCCTTGGGGAGACTTGGGCAGGCCTCCCCAAGTCCTCCAGACTTAAACTCAACAGGTTAGGATGATCGAATGTGAGGAGCGAGTGTCAGAACGAGAGCCTGAAGATCTGAAGGAAGACTTTTTAGTGGGGGGGGGCGGGGCTCGAGTGGATCTGTGGAATGGAGGAGGAGATGGGAACTACGTGAGAACCACGTGAGAGGAGTAGATGGAGGGAAGTGGCAGAGCAGGGACAGCCAGAGGGGACCACCACAGGGATGGAGGAGGGACGTGAGAGCCAGGGAGGGGGGCGGGGCCCTGGGGTCCGAGGAGGGCAGGCTTGGGCATCGAGATCACTGCTCCCCTCGCTGCAAGCCCATCGCTGGGAGAGGGAATTAAGTAGTTCTTGGGCTCCAATGGGGGACGCTACAGAAAGACCAGGTCTGGGACCGGTGTAGATGGCCTGAACCACAGGAGCCTGGTCAAACGGCCAGCGATGCTGCTTAGCAGCTGCGGGACACCCATGAGTCCTTCGAGTGTCGGGGGGCAGGCTCCTCCTTCGCTCTGCACCGTGCGAGGGGCCTTTCCTGGCTGCAGTTCTGTCCGATAGGATTCCTTTGGAAGAGTTAGTTCCCTGGAAGACTTACGGTAACCTCATTACCCTGGTTTGCGTGATTTCTCTAAAAGGCCGATTGCTCTGCTGCCGCTGTTCTCCCTTTCCTGTCAGGCTCCCTGTTCGAGCTCCTTGGCCTTGCTGGTTTCCCTGGCTACAGCAGTGACGGAAACGGACCGAAGTCGTTTTGGGGGACTAATCCGCATCATATAAATTAAAATCTCTCAGAGCTGTAGAAAGGTTTCTGGTATCCCCCGCCCCCCATTAAAATTCAAATTGTGAACGCCATCCTTCCGTCTTCCCTGTTCTCTCAGAGCAACCGCGCAAGTTGGTGTGGGCAGATTCCAGAGTAATCAGGTGACGGTGCGACCTTGAACTTTGGTGCTGAATTGGCTAAACGACAACAGCACGATGCCACCAAGTACAAGTAACTGATAAGACCTTTCACACTCATGCTTAACCTTGCATTTACGAGGGTTGGAGTGTGGCAAGAGTTCTGTTAACCTGAAAGTGGTTTCTCCCTGTTAAGTGCTTTTTCATGTAGTGCAATTAGTGCAAACCCAGCTTCTCTGAGTTGCGCTTGCGCACGCATTGTATTCACCGTCATGTAATTATGAAAAGTAAATATATGTATGTGTGGCATCTCGTATCATAGGACAAGTATCCATGACTTGACAATAAATATTAAATGACAGTGTGTAGAAGATTGATGCAGTGCCCAGGAGAAGAGGAAATACCATGCAAAGTTCAAATTTTATACATAAACTTTGGCAAAGCACTGCAGTAAATTACCATTTTCTTTACATCAGTCACGGTGCAGAAGAAGACTTTTTTTAAGCAAAGAGTAATCTCTGGAATTTTGCAGAAAGACTCTTGTTAACTTTAGACTTTTTGCAGGATGTTGCTGCTTTGTGGGAAACCAATAAAAACAAACTCCATCCATTTTTACTCCCTTAACTTCAAAGGAAGATTGAATACTTCCGCGATTCTTTGTACAAAACAAGAGGAAGGAATTTAGAAGCTAATCAACATTTCTGCTCACTCTGTTTGCTGTATCTGTTCTAATTCATATTGTTTTTCATTTCAGAACACATCTGTTATTTCTTTTTGCTGTGTTTCTCCTTAGTGTATCACAGCAATGTCAAATGTGCTCCCTGCGTCAGAATAGAGCATGACCGCGTGTAGAATTTTATTTGGTACCCGAGAATGTCATTCTACTTAGAGCTTGTAATTTGGATCAGAATTAAATCCTAAAATTTTGAAATGTATATATCTTTATTTAATGGGTTTACTTAATGATAGAGTGTGGAGGAAAGATATGTGTTCACTTGATTTTGGAAGTGACGCTGCAGAGGAAGTTTTATGTGAAACCTCCCAGGAACGGAAACGTCTGAATTTTTCACCGAGTTCACAATTACATCTATCTTCGAGATGTAATTCTAGTCTTAGAACAGTGACAGGTAATAAAATGCTTATTACTGCTGAACAATTAATGGGAAAAGCTGGATTATTTCCAAGTACGGTTGCGTTTCCGTAACTTGTAATTATAGCACATGTTCTGAAGCCTTTGTGACTTCGGATGCTTGGAGTATTAAATATATTCATATCATAGCCATGATTAAACATGTTCATTTGGTGTCAGGGTTTAACTTGCATAGTATCTCTCTTTTGTCACTTAAACTTACTGTTTCCATGTCTTCTTACTTGTCATTTTTCAGACATACCTTTTAGATAGCATTGCTAAGGAGTTAGGGAAAGAGAATTTTTTGTCAAGAGAAGACTCAATTTTTCTGGGCAGTTTATATAACATGGAATTTGAGCACAATTCTAAGAGCTCTTCCCCCCAGCCCCCCCAGACTGAGTTCAAATTGAATCCAGGTTTACAGAATAAATATGGCAAGTTTCCTTATTTAGGCACATTGCTTAACATGTCTGAGATTCGTTTTCCTCATCTCGTAAATATATTGAAGTTTACCATTTGTCAGGCATTATACTGTTTAGTTCTCATTTAAACTTCATTACCCCTCCCCCCATTTTTAGAAAATAGACTGGGAAACGGACTTTTAAGGTTACAAACCTGACATAGGTTGTACAGCAGAACACTGTTTGACCCACGTGTCCGATGCCGGATTTCAAGCTCTCCGCTTTCCAGCCAGCGGTTGCCAAATTCCCCAGAACTCCCCGGAGAGCCAGATGAAGCGTGTATTGCAGGGCCCTCGAGCTTCTGAGTCTGGAGGCTTCTGTAACGCGTTATTTCTAGCCAGTCCCTAGGTGCTGATGCCCCTGGCTATGAGGACACTCTTTGGGGACCACTGTTCTCCGCTGGGCTGCCTGGCTCTGCTCCTCTGGAAAGTACGTGAGAGAGTTCACGTGTCATGCTCGTACTAACACCACTAACATTGATTGGCAACTTACCATGCCCTAGACACAGTTCCCAAGAAATCTCTTTTGGTCTTACCTTTTGACTCGGGGCAGTTCAGGTGTGAGGAGAGGACAGGGGTGTGACCCCCACTTAGAGAAGGAAGCTGACCTGAGAAGGGCACCTGGCAGGGGCATCATAGTGGGCCGGTGGCCGAGCCACTTGTCCTTCCGTCAGCTGGGCTGCTCTGAGGGCCAGAGCTCCGGAGGCATCTTCAGAGCAGGCTTCACACGAAGGGGAGACTGAGGCACAGGAAGACCCTCCCTTTCTTGGATCCACCAGTGTCCTCAGAGGAGGACCGTCCATTGCAGGCCAGGCCAGGGAAGAAAGGGCCTCCCTCGTTCATGCTGTTCTCCCAGCATCCTGAGGGCAGATGGCGCGGTTTCTTATTCTGGCGAATGATGCGATTCTGGGAGCGACCTGTTTTTCCCTTGAGCCGTGAGGTAGCTGATGCTCGTTTGCACGGACTGAAGGGATTCCAGGCGCGTTTGTGTGTGGGAACAGTGCTGGGTGCCAGTGCATTGAATTAGAACGCATGTCAACAATGGATGGCGGCCACTCTGCAGCGGGGCACCCCCGCCCTGCAGCTCCATCAGCCAAGGGGGCGCACCAGAGCCAGAGGGAGGGAAGTGAGGGAGGAAGCCAGCCCGTGATTGAGCCTGAACCGTGTCCCCACTGAGGAACCCGCAGTGCCCCTTTCATGTTAAAGCTGAAAGAGAAAGCATAAGGTGTTTCAAAGGGTTCTCCCCTGGATACATCACGCTGATATGTAAATACGTCGTATGTTTGGTTCCATTAAACTTTTGGTTGAATGATGGTTATGCACAAGATACTTATAAGATGTTTGTCTCTCCTCTCAAGAACCCGTAATGGACCTCGCCATCGAGTGATTGGTCATTTGTATGAGTGTCCTGCCCTGAGGTGAGCGCGGCCTGGTGTCTGTTTTGTCTCAGAGGTACTGATGTGATGACCTCATGAGGCCAGGGTTCAAATCCGGGACAGACTTTCCTCTTTAATGGGATGGCTGCTTAACCGTAGAGCCAGACAGAGCTCGGTCCGCGCCCTCCCCACTGTCAGCTTGGAGTCCTCCCTGCTGTAAGATGGCCTTATACATTTATTATATACATTTGTCTCCCAGTCTTACGCTGTGAACTTTCAAATGTGTATTATGACTCACTGCTACTTTTTTGAATGTTCATCTCTGTATTTCCTCCTAGTTTTTTTCTTTCATACACAGAGGTGCAAACTCTAGAAACAGTCAAGAACCAACAGGAACTGCAGGCCGGACACAGCATGCGCTTCACGTGCTGGGGTCTGACCGTTTGTTTGATGCGCGTTTCTTCTCATTCGTTGCAGGTTAACGAAGCCCCTGTCGTTTGCTGACTGCGTGGGGGATGAGCTGCCCTGGGGCTGGGAAGCAGGGTTCGACCCTCAGATTGGCGTCTACTACATCGATCACATCAACAGTAAGGTTTCCTTTTTGGTAAAAAAGCAGCCAGATCAGAAAAGCAACCTCCCAAATCTGGAGTCATACAAAAAAAGTAAACATTTTACAAAGTGAATTTCTTTCATTTACCCCGCATGGTCTCAGCGACCAACATTTAACTGAAATGCCCTATTTGGAATTTGGTGCATGTGTGTGGAGTTGGGTTTATGGGGCAGAGGGAGAGAAAGGCGTCCAGTCCATCCGCCCGCCTGCCCGCCTGCCTGCCTGCCTTTCTGCCTGGCCCGAGCGCCTTCTCCAGAGCGGGGGTCTGGAGGCCTGCGGAGACCACCAACTGTTTGGCTCCTCTTCCTGGGACCAGCAGCCTTCGGATCGGACCTCCGCCTCCCCTTGTTCTCGCTGGGGGACCAGGCGGTAAGGCACCGGTGCAGTCTGGTCCCTCGCGGCCCGACTGCGTGTGACCACGCAGGGGGTCAGGGTGGGACGAGGGTCACTGCCAGCCCTGGAAGGGGCGGCTGTCGCTGTGGAAAAGCTCTCAACCCTCATCTTGTTTGTTCCCTGATTTCTTTGTGGTGGGAAGGGGAACACCTCTCACTTTAATAGCTTTTCTTAACTTATTTTTACAGTGGACACTATGACAGATGTCCCCACTTCCCCCGCTTTGCCCACCTCCACCCAGGCCCCGCACCCCCTTCCCTCGGCCATCGCCACTCCGCTTTCTCTGCCCGTGGGTTACGCACATATTCAGGGTCTTCGGCTGACCCCTTCCCCTCCTTTCCTCTCTCCCTGCCTCTGTCACAGCACTCTCTGCCCAGCCCCCGGGGCCCCTCTTGGCCAGCCGCCACACCCACCCGGGGTCCCTCTGCTCGGGTCGCAGGGCTTCCCAGCGGCCACCCCGGTACCCAGCCCACACCCGGGCAGGTCTCACCCGTGTTCTGAATTAGGTGCCCTGTCCCGCTATCTCTGTAATACCAGGGGCTTAGGGATTTTTAAAAATCACTTGTCATATCCACTTAAATCATTCATTTATGTTTCTCTCGCTGAAGTGTGAGCTCCTCGAGGCCAGCCACTGTGCCTTTGTTTCCTCACCCTTGGGTACCGAGTGTCATGATGAATTCCTACGTGTTAGAAGGCAGGAAGGGCTTTATTGTTTAACTCACAGGTTAAAAGCCGTCTGTTTGTTTCTGAAAAAGTTACAGTGCATTTCAAGTATAAATTAGGCTTCGGAAAGTGCCATCCTGCATGTTTCGAATCTTACTGATCAGACTATAAATGTTCAGGCCTCCCATTTTGCTGTGGGGCCGTAACGGCATCCCCGCGGCCTGATGGAGTTACTGGGCCCTGAAGCGCCCAAGTCACCCGCAGCCCGTGTCCCGCACGCAGAAGGGTCTGCCCCCGCGTCTCATTAATCTTAAAGACAGTCCTGGGAAGCAGTGCGGGGAGCAAACAGTCGTATCGTCTTGTAACAGCTGGCCCACGCATATGCCGTGGCTTGACACTGTATAGCTTCAGCATTATTTTCTCTTTGTTTTAATAAAAAATGAAATAAAGAATGTTTGGCTGTTGAACACCATATCCATGTAACCCTATCAAATATCGAGAAGTAAGAGATTTGACCTTGACAATGATCGTTTGTCTATAATAGGCCTTAGGTGTTTTAAGATGGAATTCACCTTTGAGTGGCTGGGGGATGCAGAGCTGTTGTGGGGGAGAACTGACCAGAAGGTAAAGATGAAGTGCTGTTTATAAGGTTTTGATATTATTACTAAAACCAGAAGTAAATAACCTTTTGGTAAGGTCAGAGCTATACCCTAATTTTTTTGCCTTTGCTTAAGTAATTGAGGTCTTATTTACGTGTAAGAAAATGCACAGCTTTTAAGTGCTCATTTCAGTGGGTTTTGGCAAATGCCGTTCTAGCTAAGATATGGACTGTGCCCTCACCCCAGTAAGTTCTCTCCTGCCCCTTCCCCAGCGCTGCAAATTGTTCTACTTTCTGTCATCTGGGCTTAGACATGCCTCACCTAGAGCTTCGCTTAAATGGAGTGCGTTCCATGCTGCGAAGAGAGTCCTCACTCGCCATATTTTAGAGTGTGCTCCTGAGGCATACCATCTCCGAACCCATAGCCAGGACACAGAAGTACCTCCTGAAAATCAACATTAGAGAGACAACGCAATTTAAAAATGGGCAACAACCTAGGACCCGTCCTTGGCTCTCCTTCCTGTCCCTGCCCCCGCGTGCTCTGGCCCCTGCAAGCCCCTTTTGTGGCGTCCTGGCCCCAGCCCCCCACGTGGCCAACACAAGTCACAGCTGCCTCTGTCCTAGGACCAAGGGAGGAACACGCCGCCCCGCCGGCCGTGGGGAGGCGGCTGTTCCCGGGGCCTCCGTGGGACGGCCCGGCGCTTAGTCCTGGGCTGTCCCTTCCGGTGTATCGACAGGAAGAGTGGTCCAGGGTCTGGGAGAGCGAGGGGTACAGGCTGCAAAACCAACAGAAACGGGATTCCCGCCGTGCAACTGGTCTGTGGGTTCCTAGCTCCTTCCACAGGCCTCCTTGCTGACCACTCTCTAGAGTCACCTTTGAGTGTTCTGTGTCTTCCGCCCGTGGTTCCAGGGTGCAGTCGCGGGGAGACCGGGTGGTGTGCGCCTACTCCATTCGGCGTTATCACGAGCCACCTGCTCTGCATGAGCGTTGAAGCAACGCAAGGGCCCAGGCTTGATGGGGGTCCCTCCCGCGGAAGTGACCTTTCACGCGGAGCTGCCGCCTTCAGCGGGAAGGAGAGGCGTTGGCGGCCCTTCTCTTTTACCGGTCTTATTTCAGCCTCTGTATTTTCCTATGAGGATACACTGTTCAGGTTTGATGAAAAGAAAAAATGTCTGTACTTAAAATGTGCTAATAAAAGGTGTCACGGTGCTAGTGACACTGACAGTTGGTAACTGAGAATTGACAAATGTCCGGTGGTCGTCAAGCTCCGGGCCTCCTCGCGGTCCCTTCTCCTCCCGCCCGGGTGCAGAGTTGGGGTGGGTGAGCACGCCGTTCTCCTTGAACCTGCTCTTTTCCCTCCTGCAGCCTGTTCTTTCTCTCCTCGGTGGCCTCGTGCCTCTTTCGGGAGTCCCTCTGCCTTGTCACTCCCCAAAGCCGGGGCGTCCCCGGCATCCCCGCCCGTGGCCCGCAGCCACGCTTCCCTGCGCACTGCTGTGCAGCTCCTCTGCGTTTCCAGCTGATGCTCCTAGTATTTTGTCAAACATTTCCGGTTGCAGGACATTGCTACCCATTTTGCCATCAAACCTTCAAAACAAACAGGTACAAAATGGGATTCTTCAGTTTTCCCTTTGATTTTATGATTTTTTTTTTTTTTTTTTGAAACACTGTAATCTTCATCGTTACTAAATTGAAAGATTTAGGGCCGTCTTGTCAGCCCTTGATGACTTTTTTCTCTAGCACATAATCTCAGATTTGGTCGTTCAGCCCCTTTCCACAGCTGTTTTCCTCACTCAGACCCTCATTACCTTGTGCCTTTTGTCCTTTTCCCTTTAAGAAGCATGTTTTATAAAGGTAATAGGTGTGCATAGGAGAAAAGTAGAAAATGTAGGTAAATGACAGAAAGAAAAAATTATCCATATTTATACAACCTACAGATAACGAAGCATTCTAAACCTTTGAGTGTGTATCCTTCCAGACTTTTTCATATTCACACACACACACACACACACACAGGGTTTTAAATATATATACCTGAAGTGGGGTTATATTATACAGGTGGTTTTATAAACTGCTATTTCATTTACTGTATAATATTTCATCAAAAAAAATTGCGCAATCAATCCTATCCACTCTTTCCATAGTAGGACCTCCCATAGTTATGACATGATCTTCCTAAAATACAGCTAAGAACGTTCTTGCCCTCACGTAGAACCTTCCCGTGGCACACCATTCATTGCTCACCGAATGAGTTTTCTATGTCGACCTGATATTAGGAAACCCCAGGCCAGCTCCTCTCGGAAGAGGAGACTGGGCCTCGCAGCGAACCCCGATCGCACCGACAGCAAACGACAGGCAGGGCCCATCCTGAAGGGTGCAGCTGGGCTTAGGGAAGGGGCTTTAAGCTGCTCCGGAGAGCGAGTTAGCCAGGCCCGAGCGAGGGGAAGGGTGCGGACTGGGGACGGGCAGAAGGAGAAGCTTCCTGGAGGAAGAAGACCACAGCGGAGCCGAAGGTTCGGAGAGCCCGCCAGGAGCAGGGTTGATCAAAGACTGACGGGAAACTCCGGGCGGCCGAGGCGTGCGTGGCCCGCGCGGGGAGGGGGCGCCGGATAAGCGGGGCCTGAAGGGACTCTGTCTGGGAGCACCCAAGGCCGCCTTTAATCGCCGCCTGCCCCCTGGGACCTCACCTCTCCAGCCGGAGGAAGCCCCCGCGTCCGGAGCCGCCTTGGCACCGAGCCCCGCCCCTCTGCAGGCCCCTCGCGTCTCCTGCGCAGAGCGGTTGTGGTTTCCAAACTCCGTGCGTCCCAATCTCTTCTGCATTACATACGTTCTTGGAAGGAAAGGGTCATCCCTCAACGTCTTGTTCCCCCCATTGCATGTGGCGGGTGGTCAGCGATTGTCTGTAGAAGCAATGAACAGGTTACCGCAACACTCGTGTCTGATGGAGTCAGGGGAGAGGGACTTGTTGGCAAGGCCCCCAAAGGGGATGAGCGTGGGGAAGAGACTGGGTAAAACAAAACAAAAACTGTCCCCAGTTTCTGGAAAAGTCACTTCACGAATATTATTAATTTACCTAAGAGTACTATAAGAATTAAACCTAGCTACTTTTCTTAAGCTAAACTAAATTTTTTTTTTAAACAGCGTAATTAGATTCTAAAAAATAACCCGCCTAATGTATTTTCAGAAACCACACAGATTGAAGATCCGAGAAAACAATGGCGGGGGGAGCAGGAGAAGATGCTCAAGGACTACCTCTCGGTGGCTCGCGACGCCCTCCAGACCCAGAAGGAGCTGTACCACGTGAAGGAGCAGAGGCTGGCTTTGGCCCTGGACGAGTACGTGCGGCTGAACGACGCCTACAAGGAGAAGTCAAGTTCTCACACAAGCTGTAAGTGCAGCGGGGCTCTCCCCTTTGGACGTGGGGACCAGCCTGGAGAGGACAGAGGCCCCTGGGTCGCTGTGGGGTGTCACTCTGGGTCCTGCCCCTTCCTCCGCAGGAAGGGTGGAGAGGGCCCCCCGCAGACTTCTCAGGAGAGCCCCGCGGCCCCATTCCAGATCCACGTCTCCTCTCTGGGGCATCGTGTGTCCCTTCTGTTTTTGCTTCTCCTTCTGCCTGGTGGCCTTTTATTGATTTATGAGTCAAGTCAGTTTTTACCCTTTCAGATCAAGCCAATAACTGAGCGCTTTCACTGCCCTTGGGCCCTGTTTGTGGTGGGGAAGACCTAGGACCGTGAGTGAGAGTGACTTTTCTGTTGACCCCAAAGCTAACTTGGGGTCACCAGACCCCATCTCAAAAACCGATCATCCGGGGCTGGCCTTGTTTAAAGCAGCAGCGCGAGGGGCGCAGAGGTTCCACAGAAATGGTCAGTTTCTGGAAAATGCGAAGCTCTAACAAACCGTGTCTGCAGGCAGGACCTCTGAGATTTTATCTGTTGGTATAAAGTCCAGAAGGAAATGAAGTTCCAGGATCTTTATGACATTTGTCTTTCTTGAGTTTTTAAAAAAAAAAATTATAAAGGTTTGAAGATTACTTTTTATATTTAGGTGTCTGATGAATGACAATAAAGAAATTATAAAGTAAGTAAGTATCCGCAGAAGCATGTGAATCTTGTTGTTTTTAGAGTTTGTAAGTTCTGAGCTGCGAACTAGTTATGCAACCTTGTTTTCTCTTTTTTGTCTTTGAAAAGTGTTCTCAGGATCATCATCTAGTACTAAATACGATCCTGATATTTTAAAAGCTGAGATCTCCACTACGCGACTAAGGGTAAGATGCTTTTTACTGTGGTTCTCCATTGAACATAAACGTGTGCTCTGAAGGTGGGGGAGGGGCATTAATGGTCACCTGCCGTGTCGTACAATGCGGGAGCCTCCGCCACCTCACCCCGATGGGCAGTGTTTCTGCCTTTGTCAGAACAGATCGTCCTGGTACTGAGACAGAGCGCGTTCCACTCCCGGGCAGTTGCACTATTTGCAGTTAGTATAAAACTTGAGTCTCGGTAACTTCCTCATTGTGCTGAATATGTCCTCCACCGCTGAGCCTACTGGCCCTTCCATCAGACAGCCCAGCATTTAGAGATGCCCGGTTCCTGTCAGCAAGCCGTTCCTGCCTAGAACTTTACCAGTCTCTCTCACTGGCGCATGGGGCTGTGTTTCCTGAGCTTTACCCTGAATCTTTTTGACCAAACTGCTGCTAAGCCCCGAGCTCATTTACCCTTGATTTGTGGAGTCTTGAAGACTGTTCATCAAGTCAGTAAATTCCTGTAACCATTACCTCCATCGTGAAATAGGCTGTCACCGTGTCCCCGGGAGCCCCCATTGTACCCCTTCGTTGTCACTACCTTTTTCTCTGAAGGTAACCCTGGCCTCCTCAACACTGTGGGTTAGCTTTGCCTGCTTTGAACTTTGTGAAACTGGAATGCCACCGTACGTATTATGCGATGGCTTCTTTTGCTCAGCAACATTTTGAGATTCATCTACAAAAACTTTTATTGCTGAAAAGCATTCCACTTTGGGGTATATACCGTAAATTCTTTCTCTTCTACTATTGATGTGCATTACAGCTTATTCCAATTTCTGGTAATTAAAAGTTACGTCTTGATGCACATGTCTAGTATGCACGTCCTTTGGGGCACATATATACACATTTTTCTGTTTCACAACTGGGAATGAAATTGCCATGTCAAAAAAATATTTATAGCTTCAACTTTGGCAGATACTTACAAATGATTTGGGGCTTTCTTTCTTTCTAATATCTGCTCTTAAAGCTCTAAATTAATTTCTGCACATGGCTTTTGCCTACAACCCACAGGTTTTGAATTTTGTATTTTTATTATCAATCAGTTCAAAATATTTTCTAACTCTTGTAACCTCCTTATGATTACAGTGTGCTTAATTTTTAAATAGTTGGGGATAGCCTTATTTTTTATTATTGATTTCAGCTTACTTCCACTGCATATTTTTCAGTCCTAAAATTTCTTTTTGATTGTTTTTTTTCTTCTTGCCCTGAATCTGAACTTTGATATATAATTTTTTGAACAAAATGATCATAGTTATTTTTTAAATTCCATGTCTTGATTAGTATAATACTTAGCTCTCTTACATGTTGAATTCTTCAATATGGTCAGAAGAATGGTTTTGATTTTAGGTCAGTATTTGACTTCTTACAGCTGCTTACTTTTTATTAAGAGTCATATATTATGTATGAAATAGTATAAAGATAATTTGAGGTCTGAGACGATCTTGTCATCCTTCAGAGAGAAGGTAGTTTTGCTTCTCGTAGGCAGTCCAGGGACATCCATTTTTAATGCAGTGAGGGTTTGATCTGTGTGAAATCTGGGTTTCATCCCTTTTCGAAGGGTGGATCTATTTCCAGTTTACCCTTTCTCTCAGGGCAGAGCTCTCCCAAGCCCCAGGTGCACTCCCGGGGTGTTTTAAGCGTTTCCCTTCTGCATGACGGAGGCTGCACTCCAACTCTGTCCCCACGCTTCCCACCTCCCTCGCCTGGACTGCGCGTACTTCTCTGAGCTCTGGCCTCTCACTCACTGCGTCCTCCCAACTTGTCACATGCAAATGCCTCTGAAGGAAAAACAGTGTCCAGTCTGGGTCATGACTATGGGTCTTTCATACAAGTTCAAGTTCCCCAGTGTCTTGAAATAGACATTTTGTTTTGTCTTTCTCACAACTTTTCTTTTTGTTCTCAGAAAAAGAGCGTGAAAAACATTTGTCTCTGTTTTCTGGGAGCAAAACCTCTCTTCAGTTTGGGTCTCTGGATTCATCAGGAAGCCATTGGCAGATGAGGGTTCTGTGTCTTTCTACCATAAATGTCCTCCCATGTACCAGGGGCTCCTTACTGGGTCAGCGCACCCACGTTCTCTGCACCTTTCTCAGGAACATCACGTGATAGTTTGCCCGATGCATGGGGCTGTATCTGTGTGCTGCGTCTGTCCGCTCCTGTGACCCACTAGACTAGATACCTTATCTAAACAAAGGAAACGAAGGTATTTGTCAAAGCTTACTCGTAATTACCTCCATATTCACTTGAGCTGTGCACTTCTTAGGAAGTTATTACTTATCATTATTACCCTTTGAAATTTTAACCATTTTTCACAGTCCTTATCTTTGTAAGACACATGGTGAAGGGCATAGCCGCAATAGGCTCCTTAGTTTGTTCATGTAAATCCCTCTTTAGGAAGGATGCAAACCAAGGAAAGGATTTAAAAACAAAACATATAGGATATTTCATACAAAGCCATTTAGAAGGAAAAGGCCGTTGTCTCCACTGGGGTGGTCCCAGGAGATCCCAAGTGGTCACACTCCCCAGACCCCTCTCCTCAGGCCGCAGAATGAGACAAAGCCTCCTCCGTGCCAGGTGCAGTCTGCTCTTGCCATCAGCAGCCTGTATTCCATTTACATAGTTCACCACCGTGCCACTACGAAGGTGAGTTGGACGAGCAGGCATGGCCCGAGAAGACACCCCCTCCGCTGAAGCGGATGGAGGACAATCATCAATAACTGTAATAAAGATCGGGTGTGACACTCTTCCTCTCCTGCCTTAGTGGCCAGGTGCTTGTGGAACACTTCACGCCGCTGGGAATGCTCCCTAGCAGGCTGGCCCTTGTGGCCTGCGCTGCTCTTGTTGCCCTTGCGATGCTCCGGGTCACGGTCTGAACCCCGTGAAGCAGATGGCGCGCTCTCTCTGCAGTCCACGCGCATCTTGGCCAGGTGGCACCCTCAGAAGTGAATGGGTAACTTGGCAGAGTCTCACGGACTTTGGTAAAATGGCCTCTTTTTGGCTTGTCAACACTGTGGCAATTGTTGTAGGTACTAGTCCCTTTCACAAATCAATGCAAAATAAACACAAAAACCTCATGCATTCACATGATATTTGGGGAGAATCAATAATCTTCTAAGTCCATGATAATGAAGTAGTGAGAGAAAAAAATACCAATTTATACTACATACATTTTGCAATCTTTGGCATCTTCTTGTACATATCTGTTTCTAGAATTCAGGGTGGTAGGCGTAGTACTACATCCCCTTCATAAAAGAACCAGAATCCAAGAGCGCTCCTTCAAGATCTACAGGAAGAGAGCTGTGTGGTTGAGATTAGCCAATTGGAGCCCAAATTTGGATCTTGTGCCTGTAGAGAGAGAAAGAGAGATGCATGAAATAAGTCCAGTCGGAAGATATTCTGCCTAAAATTCAGGCTGTTGGAGTCACATGAATATCTCTTGAAAGACCCAACTGCCTCTGCTTTGGCCCAGGAAAGGTTAACTGCTGGAGGCGTTGTCCTCTAGACAGCAGAGGGTTAGAGGGTTAGAGACCTGGGCAAGCTCTCTGAAATGAGAGCATCCCATGGACAGTGAATAGCAGGCCTTATAATCCCCATCTTTAACTGAAGGGCGCGGTCCAGAGGTGCTTCCTGGATGGCACCACCTGCAGTGCGGGGAGAAGGGCTCACAGGGGTCTGGTTGTGTTGAGAGACTCGAGGACAAAGTTCAGTGAGGTGGGAGAGTGAGGACTTGGGGGAGATACTGGAGAGGAGGGAGCTGCAGAGAGAGAGCAAGAGTGAGCTCTGGGGACTTCTGAGGGGTCTCCTCACATCAGTGAGTGCTGAGCAAGCACAGCACAAACACAACGAGGGGGGGAACGAAAGCAGCAGGACAGACAGTTCTCAGAGCCTCCACGGGGCCAGGAATAGCTCGTGCTTCCGCCCGCCTTCACGGAGGGACCTCACAGGGCACGGGGCAGCGGGTGGAGACCTCAGTATCAGAGCCGCAGAAGATCCACAGATAACTGGCAAGCAAAGGAAAAGATGGTTTCCCGGTTCGTATGTAAAAGTCATGTTTACACTGAACTGTAGACTATTAAGTGTGCAATAGCATTATGTCTAAAAAAACAATGTCCACACTTTAATTTCAAAATCCTCTGATTTAAAAAAAATGCTAACCATCCACTGAGCCTTCGGCAAGCTATAATCTTTTTGCTGATGGAGGGTCTTGCCTGGAAGTCCATAAAAATGCGTTATCTGCAAAGCATGATAAAGTAAACCGCAACACAGCAAGGTCTGCCTGCCTGTGTGCATACAATGGAATATTATTCAGCCTTAGAAAGAAATGAAACTGATGCATGTTACAGCCTGGATTAGTGCTGAAAACATTATGCTAAGTAAGTAAAATGAGCCTGACTTACGAGGACAAATATTGTGTGGCTGCACTTCTGTGGGGTTCCCTCCTAGAAGCGGCAAATCTATGGAACAGGAAGTAGAATAGTTGTCAGCAGGGGCTGGAGGAGGGGCGCGGGGGAGTTGCTGCCCAGTGGGTGCGGAGTTTCAGTCTGCGGTGATGAAAAGCCTGGAGGTGACAGGTGACGATGGGTGCACTTAAGTCCTCCAAGTTGTACCCTTAAAAATGGTTAAATGGTAAATTTCATTATATGCGTATTTTACTACAGTTCTTTTAAATGAAAGCAAAAGGAAGAACTTTTCAGAGAAACAAAGGCTGCGAGGATGGATTGCCTGCAGAACTGTCATATATTAAATGTTAAAGGGAATTTCTTCGGGCAGAGGGAAAATGGCGCCCCATGGAAATCGGGACCTCCGTAAAATAATGAAAATCTAAGTGATAGTAAATAGGTGCATGGATAGGAAACTTCTTAACACTTTAAAGTCCCTTTAAAATCATTGCTTATTTAAATAAAATAATACAAATATGGTGTGGGTTCTGTAAAACATTTAGAAGTGAACTCTAAGGCATCACAAAGGAT